CGTCAGCGGGGCGAGGTAAGTGGGAAGTTGGACGTTGGGACCGCACACGTCGTCGTGAGCCACGAAGATAGCTGCGGCTTGGTCATCCCAACCGCCTTGCAAACCTATACAAGGGTTGAGGCTGTGCGCTGTCGTGCGTGGCAAGTGGCGCGGAGACACGGTGCTTCCGCTTTGCCGATTGCGGGTTAATGTCTCCGAGGTCCAGCGACGACTGCACTGCCTGCTTCATGAGGCGCAGGGCCTCGGAGACGCTCGGGGCTATGTCCTGCTGTCGAGTCCGCGAGGTCATCGCCCGTCAAAACAGGTAACAGGGAGCAGGAGCCTTCGCCAACTAAAAAACACAGCACACATGACGACTTAGTGTGGGGAGGGTCGGCGAGCACTCACTCACTAGGCGGCGCCGCAGGGCCGGGGCACTGGCCACGGCCTCGCCGACCACTAGAAGGCGGCCCACCCACTACGCGCACTATCTTAGTGCGCGGGGTGGGCGGGAGGCACTCACCCACTAGCCCGCTCGCCGGCGGCCCACTCACTACGCGCACTATCTTAGTGCGCAGGGTGGCGGGAGGCACTCACCCACTAGCCCGCTCGCCGGCGGCCCACTCACTACGCGCACTATCTTAGTGCGCAGGGTGGCGGGAGGCACTCACCCACTAGCCCGCTCGCCGGCGGCCCACTCACTACGCGCACTATCTTAGTGCGCGGGGTGGCGGGAGGCACTCACCCACTAGCCCGCTCGCCGGCGGCCCACTCACTACGCGCACCAACTTAGTGCGCGGGGTGGCGGGAGGCACTCACCCACTAGCCCGCTCGCCGGCGGCCCACTCACTACGCGCACTATCTTAGTGCGCGGGGTGGGCGGGAGGCACTCACCCACTGTCCGGACACAGCGAATCGATTTCACTTTTGCGAGCGAGTGTGATGACGGATGCTCCCACCGAGTTCCTACACTCTGACACTCACTTGCAAGCGTCGGCTCCCAAGCAGCAGCCAAGATGAAGGACGCTGGAGATATTGGTACGCCGCAGCCCACATGCCCCCGACGCCCGAAAGAATTTACGCCGTTTTCTGTTTTCTTTCTTTCTTTTACACAGGACTGGATTTTACGAACGAGGGCACGGGACTGGTGACGCAGAAAAGAATTCCACGATGAAACGAAGAATTACGCGCTCGTCACGTTGAGCCCTGGATAGGGTCGATTCCGCACGGTAGTTGGTACGGGACCCCATGTTACAGTGTCGTGTTCCGCGTAATCTTTCTACAGATAGGTTGATACATGAAACAAGAAGCGCTTCACACACACACGCCGCTTGGCTGACGTTGTAGGTTGTTCTCCGAGCTGGCGGTGTGCCGCCGGGAAGTCAAGCTCGGAGCTGGCGCAGTGTCCGCCGGGGCCCAAGAGGGCAACCCTGTCGCGATCGATGCCGCCCGAGCGAGACGTACACCTGTCTGTGCCATTGAAGCCGTGGTGGCGGCGCGACATCCATAATTTTATCACTCGCACTAGGCGGCGGCGGCGCTGGCGGCCGCCGTCTCCTGCGAGTAATAAAAGTATGCCGCGCCCACCACCGCGACCAGCACCGACACGAGGATGAGCGGCATCGCGCCGCCGCCCTCGCCGCTGCCGCCGCCGCCACCCTTGCTGGTGCTCCCCACGCGTTCGCTCGGCGCGAGCTCGCCCACCTCGAATTTGTCCAGCTGCTTGCGCGCGTCCCTCGAGTGGCCCACATCCTCGAAGTCCTCCGTCGCATTCTGGCCCGCCCTGTCCATGAGCACCTCCTCGCCGCCAGGGTGATCGTCCAGGTACTTGGTGACATTGTACACCTTGTCGTGGATCACCATCCAGACGTCTTCCTGGGTGTTGTGGCTCTCCACGTCAGCCATGGACCTGCGCGCGCGGGCCGGGACGGCCGCAGGTTTGGCGCGGAGCCCCGCCGACGCAGCGCGCAGACAGCGCGGCAGCGGTGTGGCGGCGGCGAGCAGCAGCAGCGCCGAGGAGCGGGAGACGGGCGCGCGCGCGCGCTCACATGAAGGGGCGGCCCTTGCTGTCCTCGGTCGGCTCGGGCTCGGGCTCGGTGGCCTGATCGGACGCCATGAATCTTCAGAGGACCTTGCGACGCAACAAAATGCTCGCGGGCGACACACACCACACATGCACAGACACACAGCCCCTTCCCCTCCCCCCTCAAGGGCGAGGACACGCACAGGCCGCACCTCTAGTGAGGCCCGCATAGTATGTGGGAGACTCGTGCCGCCGCCCCTGCCACCCCTGTGTCAGTGTGCCTGTGGTAGTGAGAGACTGCCAGCGACAAGCTGGAGGCAGGTCGCTAGACTGAGATGAGACCGCCAGTGGATGTGGGAGTCCACCGCGCACCGCGCTGCGAGCCTGTCGTGTCCCTTGTCAGGAGCAGGAGAGCCCCACCTGTCCCCCTGATCGTTCTTCCAAAATCCTGCTCGTGCAGGTGGGGACCCTGTCCTCATCCCATCCCTCGTTTGGCGTGTCTGTTTTCTTTCTTTCTTTCTTTGTTGGCTTCTAAAAATCTGTCACACACACACACACACACACACACACACACACACACACACACACACACACACACACACACACACACACACGCACACGCACGCACGCACCCACCGGCCCTGGATGTGAGGCTAATGACTGCACTCCAAGTGCTCCAAGCAAGTGCTGCGCGTGCTCCAAACTGTGACTTCATTTGGCTTTCTTGGAGCACTAGCTAGCACCAAAACACACGAGGGCGAGCTGGTGGGGCGCCCGCCGGGCCCGCGAGCCAGCCAGCCGACGCACGCTGCCCCTCGTGTGTTTTGGTGCATCAAAGTAGACATTTCTTCTACCCTTATAAGTCTCTCGTGTCGGCGCCGACGCTCTTTTAACGTAGAACGTCCCATGAGTGCTGATGGATGATCTCCGACAACCCAAAACCAAAATAAAAATGCGGAGTGGCCCCACTTTGGCGTGCAGATCCTGCGTCTCTATCACTGCCCGAACAACAGAGGCGGGTCCGCGTTGGAATGCGGAGATAGTAACCACCCTCTGTGGTGTCTTAACCCCTAAACGGCGTTCCTTTACATATGTAAAGGAACTTATTGTTATTTTATTCCTTTGCAGGACGGCTGGTCGGAGCGACGGCCGATCCAGCAGCCGTCTGCGACATGGCAGTGGCCCCGAGTCATGTGCAGCTGGTCCCGAGCGGCTCAGGTCCCAGATCGAATCTCGGACCCACAGATTCTAGATTCCTTTAGATTCCCTGGATTCCCGCAACAGCGATCTCTTAGCGGCGGCAAACAGAGGCGCAACTCTGCCAGCAGCGAGGAGGCTCCTGCTGCTCAGCTACCGAGGCCTGGTGGCGTCGGCTGCTGCGTGGAGAAGACAGCAGCACTGTCCGACCTCAAAACATGCACAACAAGCGGGATTTGTGACTCTGTCCTCGATTCTTCAGTCGCTCTGCCGGACGCGCTCGCTTTGTCGCGAGGGTCACCAGTGTAAGCCGTGTGGACGCCCAGAATAGCCTCCCCTGGCTTAGCTAGAGTGAGAGATATTGTGCACGTGGTCAGCCTCTACAATATATACACTGACACTTTACCTCCCAGAGCTCGTCTAGGTCCGCCACGGCCATCCTCAGCCTCCAGAGGGCCCCCGGCCGCGGCGCGGTGCGGCGGCGTCACAAATCCGACGTCAGTTCACCGGGACGCGATCGGGCGATCTGAAGTCCAACTAGGCGTATGGATTATCCGCCCAGGGCTATCACCTGGACCCCTCAATGGACGCCTGCGGTGCCGCCCCCACGAGGTGTTGTTCACACCTGTACAACCATTCGTGCAGCAGGAACGCGCTGTGTGTGGCTGGCAGCAAACTCAAATGACGACGGGTTGCAGCCTCGTAGCTCAACGGCAACATTGTGCATGAGGAAGGCTGATAGAAGTATCACCAGCCACACAACCAACAGCTTCTGGAGAGTATGCGGAGCGCAAGCAGCCGGTGATCAAAGGCGTGTTGCTGTCGGTGGCAGATTGCCAGAGGGACGCCGGCGCCTCGGTGCGTGGCTTCGTCACAATTTTCCACCGCTCAACTTGGAGGCAGTGTGTCTAGTAGCGTGCTACACCTATGACGGCGGACCTCACTGGGGCGCCGACGTGCGACGACCGTCTGGGATCGAAAGACGAAACCGCGTCCCAGGAGCTCGTGCAGAGCGCGCTCCGGAGCTCGGTGGCGGGAAATTTGAAGGGAACGTGGTGGCTTCCCACCGCCTCTGTATGTGCCCAATAAAGTGCTAACACGACCCTCGGGCAGCAGGGGGTATGTGGCGAGCGCACGGAGGCACAGTTAGGCCGCCGTGATATCGCCCTTCCGGGCACCCCGTTTCGGTAGCCGTTTAGGGGTTAAGGTCCGACCTGTGGGCTCTGCCTGCGCTCGGCACCGGGCACCGCCTCGGTATACAAAATGCGCCTGCGGGCGGACCCTCACAGATCACAGATCACCCTCTGTGGTGCCCCCTTTGGCACTTTACTCCTGTCCCGCGTGACCCTCTGTCTCACATGAGTTTCGTCCCTCGATTTTGTGTCACGCGTCTCCTCCTAGTTCGGCTCTGCCGAACTGCGGTCTGTCGTAGCTGCTCTCTTTCTGTTCTGTTTTTGCACTTGGCCTATACTCTCGGCCTCCTCCGCGCGCCGCCGGGCGCGAGTGGGAGCCCTCGTGCTCCCCGCAATCAAACGTGGTGACCCCCGTGAAGGATCGAACTTCAACCGCGCGACACACATGAACCAGTCTTATAGGTGTCGATTGGTTATATGCAAAAATGTGTGGTCAGAGCGTTAATATGGCAAAAATTTCTTCGCCTCGGCGGGGCCGCTCGCCGCGGGGCTAGAGAGTGACTTTTGTCGATGTCGGCTAGAAGTGCTGCACCTTTTTGAGAATTTCACCCCCCTCGCCCCGCACCCCGCCGGCGTCGCGCTCTCTCAGTCCGGCCGCTCGCCGCCCACCCCGTTGCGCACCGTGTACGCGACTAGTAGCCCGAGCCAGTAGAGCTGCAGCGCGTTGAAGGCGCCCACGCTCACCGCGTGGGCCCACAGCGGGCCGCGCAGGCGGGCGGCGGCGGGCGAGGCGAGGAGCGGCGCGACCTCGGGGTAGAAGCGGCGCAGCGAGACGGCGGTGAAGAGGACGCCGCGCACGGCGACGAACGAGGCGGCGGCTGCCGCCTGGAACCCGTCCCGCAGCGCGCGGAACCGGCGCAGCAGCCGCTCTGCGCCGGGGAGGGCTCCCGGCTGCAACGACTCGAGCGTCCTCGCGGCGTGCGCAAAGTACTCGTGGGCGTTGAGCGGCAGCGTCGACGCCTCGATGAGGCCGAGGTAGAAGACGCCGTAGTAGATTGGCGCGAGCGCCATCGCGTTGAACGCGACGGCCGCCATCGCGAAGTGGTGCAGCAGCGAGTCGGGCCGGCGGAGCTGCTTGATC